CTCCTCAGTGTTGCAATAAACTATCTGAATACAAAGCCTTTGCCAGTTGTCCTGTCTTGTTTTTATAGCTGTACCTGGCCTTGGCCCTTGCTCCAGAAAGTCACAAGGATTTTCACTGTAGTGCAGGGTGTGAATTTTGAAAAACTCTAAAAAAAAAAGTACCAAAATCAGTGACTTCTATTTGTTACTCTTCACACATATTGTCTTTAATTCAGAATTAGATTTTCAAAGCTTACTAATATTTTTCATCTTAAATGAAAGGGAAATTGTATTATTCACTTCACTTAATTTTGTACAAGCACCTTCTTTCTAATGAAGGCCTTTCTACCATGCCTGTCAGGTCACAGAGTCCGCCCCGTCCCTGAACCTGTGAATGAGGAAAATGGTTCTTTCTGGGAGTTTTACATTTACAGTACATAATACACACCATGTGCAGAAACCTAGTCTGGCAAATCTTTGCCACTGTTTGAGAAGTTCCTAGGGCTGGCCTTATCTCAGCTGCTTTCCTTCTCAAAGATCCCACAATTGTAAGGTTAGGAATGGGCTGTGGGACAGATATCATATTAATGATGGCAGTTTGCTTTCAAGCACTATTGTTCTGAAGGGTCCTACAAACTTTCTTCCTCATATAATTGGAAATGCATGCATCATATAATATTGTTGTATTTACATTTTAAATTGGCACGCAATACATCAACCATGTACTTTTAAAAATTGCATTTATACAGGAAAAATCTAGTAACCCATTAATAATTTCCAGTAATGGTCATAAAAATTACATCTTGTTTGTTTTGCCTCAAAAGAGCAGTTCTTCAAAATGCCTTTGCTGCTTCAAACAATTAGTTTTGGAAGGGGATCCTGAACAACTTGCTGGTATTCAAGATTCTGACTTGTGAATTAAAAGTTCACATTTAGGCAGGAAAAATAATAGTGAGGGGCAACACCTACACTTCTGAAGGGATCAGTTCTTCAGGGATGTCCACCTGCCACACACCTTTTCCCCCTCTGGCAGGAATTGGTTCCAGGAGCCATCTTGGATTGGAAACAACAGTCAAGTATTTCTGCTCTAGATTACTGAGGACAGCTTTGTTTTCCAGCTCCAGAATCTTTTCAGGAGGCAAGTTTTCTGGATATAGCAATGTCTCTCCAATGTCAATTAATCCTGTATTATAAAATTAAAATAGAAAATTAGTTGGCCATTTGGTCTCCTATAGAAAAGTCTTCCAGAAGTATACCTTCCAGAGGACATACAAAACAGCTAGTTTGTTACCAGAAGCACACAGTATAAAATATGCACACCTTAAACCAGTGTCACTCACTGCAGGAGATGGCCTATGTGTCTGAACTTAGGTCAGTCAAGAACAGGTGAAGCATGCAGTTATAATATTCACAACTCGCTGATATAAAAGTCTGCTAAAAGAAGCCTGCATCTAAGGAAGTACAGCTGCTACCAAAACTCCTGAGCTACATTTGGGCTTGAATCAGCTTCATTAAAAAGTAAGCTCTCTCTGCTCCTATCAGGACACTGTTCTATTAACATTTTAAAATCATTAAACTATATGGAAATTCCTGCTCTCTGGAACCCTTTTAATGTCACGAAAGGGAATTTCTATATTGCTTCATGATTAAAAATGTTAAAATAAAGATCAAAGAAACTTTGATACCTACTCCACAATTTAGCGTGCAATTTCTGTCAAGGTTACAAATCTGCATATTACTTAGTACCTAACAATTTTCATGACTATAGAACTGGAACAGTTTTTCAGTATATGTGATGGAAGTAATTAGTTGTTCAGGAATAGCTAAAAATATTCAAATGAGAATGCAAGAGAGATGATGTAACAAAAGACACCTGCAAGAAGAGAGTGCAAAATGAATGCTGGATGAAAACTTTGTAAGTGTACAGTGCAGCAACATACAATGTATTTCAGCACAATATAAGCGAAGGAACACCACTCCATTCTAACTTTGTGTGACAGAAGAAAACTGCTTCACTGCTCAAATAACAAGAGCCATGGAACATTTGTAGAACTGAAGTAATACTGTTTAATTACTTAATAAGCAATACTCTAACTTGACATGCAAAGCACTGCCATGTCATGACTTCAATTGACTACGAATACTGTAAACTGGTTTCAGCAAGAGTTCCTAAGCTCAAAATGCAAAAAGTATGGAACTGGTATTTATTATCATGAAGCAAAACAATACACAACCCTTGTTATACTATCTTACTGCATGATGAGTTTGCACAAATCTGTTTTATTTCTTGTATGGACTTTGGAGTCGTAGCCTAAAGTTTTTAGGAGAGAGGCCTGACTAAAATTCTTTATCCTAGAGGTCAAAGATACTTCACATTTCCAACACAACAAAAAAGAATAAATTTTATTTACAAGTTCCCTCACTGACCTCAGCTTACAGCGATAAGGAATCAAAACACTCCCCCAGTCACAACTCAGGCCCCACTCCTTCAAAGTAAGTGTTAAACCGATGTTACAATGAGCGTAACTGTGTAAAGCAGACGTGCATTTGACTGAATGTTTAACGGACTGAAAGCCTGCTTGGAAAATACAATCCAAGGCTGCTTACCTGCAATAACTCCTCTGCCAAATTTTTCCCCTTTATCCAACAAATCCTGCACTTGTTTTGGTGTCATACCAAACCTATTCAAAAGAATTGTTCTCCATGTTTCGTCTTCCCAGTCCTTAACAGCTATATGAAGAGCAATGGTGCAGTTCTTGTAGTCTGCTAGCAAAGGACGCCAGCGAGTCTCCACTGTTTTGACCTTGTTTAAAACCAATCCTGCATAGGGTTGCCGGAAGGAAAGGCAACCAAATTTCATCGTTTTCCTTGCATCAGAACCCGTTTAGCTCCTATGAACAAACAGACACCCCGGTATTAGTCTTGAGAAACGTGTCTGTGAGCACGACAAGCTGACAGACCCGCCGG